GTTTAAAAATAGAATGTGTTGTTTTTTTAAAAAAAAATCTGACTGCCAACTGAATGCAAACAGGTAAAAATTAACATATGCAATTGTCAAGCATCAAATTCAGCTCCTCAGCCACCAAGATTCACATCGCCTGGTGAGCGGGGCTCACAACACTCTGAGATTGCATTGCCTAGAAGTTGTGCAAATAAATATATATACTTTTTCTTTTTTTTTAAGTCACACTGTTCTTTCTAGGTGTGACCACATGATTCGTTCTCAGTAATCTGTGCATTTAAACAAAAGACCCAGTAAACCCGGAGCTAACAGCTCAGTCTCCGTGGGGCAAATTCGGGATGTACCGCATGGTTACAAAGATGCGCTCCATGAGATCCATTCCTACCATTTGCATGAATTCTCCACCCTGGCAAAAGAGGATACTGTTCCAATTTTTTTTTTTTTTTTTTTTTTTTTAAGTCTAACAAGGGTAATTATAACAGGATTAACAGATTTTTTTTTTTCCCCCACTGCCTCATATCAGCGAATTATACCAGAGTTATGACTAGACATGTTTTTACTGTATATGGAAATGTGTTAAAATGAATGTATAGCTAAAACACACTCATCATCCATTGTATTGTTTTGTAGAAGCCACTTCTCCCATGAAGGGCAACCACATGTGAAGGGAGAGAGTCCAAGTAAGTATTTAGTAAACATTTGAAAAATGAGAGACAAATAGTGCTGTGCAATTGCACCATCTTACTTCAAATAACCACTCCAAAAAAAAAAAAGTCATTCCTTAACAAGCCAAGCCTGGCTCCCTAAACCAGGAGGAATCGCAACGCTGGTAAACTTGCAGAAATATTTTTACAATTTTATTAGAGGTTTTAATTCAGTGCTTTATCTACCTCTGTTAGTCTGCAAAATAGCTTTAAATATTCAAGTGGTAATTAATGAATCTTTTATGTTGCAAATCAAACATTTTCATCTGTGCTGTGGTACAGTGGCAGCGAGAAGGAGGGGTTTAAAGTGTAATTGTTTCTACTGTTCCCCTCGCAGTGCTGAATGCCTTTTTACCCTTTATTATATCATTGGCTTTTGCTTCAGTTCATCAGCGCTTCGCCACATCTTATCGTTCGATATTTGCTGTCTATTTTTTTTTTTTTTTTTAGTTCAAGATTTCTTACTGTGCCTTTGCCAGAGACATTCCTAAGGAGATGGAAACTCTCTGAATGTGGAATTTTCGCATGAGTGCAAAATAATAAAAAGCATGTGTGTATTAAAAAGGGATCAACTTAATGGGAAATGAGCATTGGGTTACATTAATATTCTATTACAGTAAAAATCATATTTAATAAATTTTCTCCAGATTTTTCAGAATCTTACTGTATTTTTCTAAGTCGTATGCCAATCCAAAGAAACAGTGTATATGATACATTTGATTTATGTTAAGTAAATAACCTGCACAGCCCATTTTTTGGTTTAAAAAAAAAAAAATATTAAGTGTAGAAACACACACCAGACTGAAATGTGTGCTTAGTTTCCATCTGCTAGGAGGAATAGTGTTGGTCTTGTGCAGCAGAAAGCCTTTATAAACAGTATTCTATTTTATTGATGCTATATGTGGATTTTTATGTTATGTGGCAAGAGCAGGAGAATGAAAACATTGTAATTTATCCTAAACTGTAAAATTATATTAGTACTAAAGTAATTACTTCACATATTAAAATACAGTTTCCTTTACTTTCTTTTGTCATCACATAAAATTATGCATTGAGCGCTGCAGTGCAAAGGGGCCGCAGCTTTTCTTGCCTTCACAAAGGATTGACACATCCTTGATCGTACACTATATCACCCGACCCTTGTTGTTCCGTGACCCTAATTAATATTATACTCAGTGACATTTATGTATCAGAGCAATAAGCTAAACAGGAAACAATTTATGTCACCTAAAGCTTTTTAACAAATCGATGCAACTATTTGTAATTGCTTGTTTCACAAGATTAAAAGTACTCAGCCTTGATCTTCGCCCACAGTTTTGTGGCCAACATGACCTGTGCTTCCGTTGTAAAATAGGAGTGTTGGTGATCAGCACCTATTTCCATCAAGTAATCCATATTGCTAATATTTCTGGAATTTTAATGTAGTTACAATTTATAGCCGATCAAATGTGGTTACCTAAATTGCTGTTGCTAGTAGACAGTTTAACTGTCTTTATTAATTACAGTATAATTTAATGTTTGAGTACAGGCACTTGTGTTGGTCATTTTTACAGCCAAAGCAGTTATGTGCCTTATGACGAACCATTTTAGCATTTTCAATGGAAATTTGCTAATATGATGAGTGATAAAAATGTCAAACTCTGGTAAATAATGGTTATTGCTTTGGCTGGAATTAATCCTTGAAAGGACGGTTACCTTCAAATTAACATTATAACTTGAAGAAAAAAAAAATGTTTTTCAGGCTTCTGAGATGCATAAAAAATGGCCACTGAACTCCTCTAAATAAATACATCCAGAACCCCACAAACTGGAGGGTTTTATTTCTTTTCCTCCAGATAGAGAGACTTCCTGTGGAATAAGAAGGGAGGAGGGGCTGCTTTTTGTTAAATAACCCAAGGTGATGTTGTTTACCATTTCTAGCTCACGTTCTTTGAAGTTATATCTAACAAAGCTAATAAAATGGGGCAAAAAGGCGGCCTTCGCTAGGCCTCGACCCTGGGGGTTTGGGGCAAAAACGGGTGCGGACAGCACGGAGGCTTCAAAGGCGCGTGAGGACCGTGTCCCACCACGTTGGGGGAAACGGTGGATTTTTGCCACCACCGTGGCAAGATGAGGACGAAGAGAGCTTTGGCATGATGGCATTAACCATTGCCGCAACGGAGATGAGAGATAGCCCTGATTAACACGCCATTAAATGAACGTTTAACATCATCGTTGAAGATGGAGCCTGATTAATAGGTCAAGAAGGGCTAATTACACTTTGTTGTGACGAAGGGTGTGTATGTGTGTCTGCGCGTAAGCGAGAGGCACCGGGAATTGCTAGTCCCTTAAATTAGTCCAATAATGTGAAATTTGTTGTACTCTGTGATCACGGCCCAAGTTAAATGTCACCGTTCAGATCATCTGCAGAGAGCAGCTGGGTGTGCACGGTGCGCGTCGGCTGCCATCTCCTCCTGGGCCAACAGCTCCTGGGCTGGGACCCACTTATCTTCTGCTGCTTCTCCCTCCGGTACAGCAGAAACCCAGAAAAACTACGCCCTGGCTCCGGTTTTCTTCGGAAATTACTCAGAGATACATTGCCTCACCGCTGACCATAAAAGTGCTTTTCAGCGCTGGTGGGAAACAGCGTTTCTGACTGGAAAAGGTATTTCCCAGCCGGCTGCTGCTGGTGGCAGCGCTGTGAGGCACGAAGGCGTTTTGTGGCGTTGCACGACACGGCAGCCGAGCGGGGGAGGTGGGATTGGTCACACAAAGATGGTGCAAAACGCGAAGAGCCAGGCCCTCACCCACTGCTGGGGCAACGTTAACTTGGGCAGGAGGGGAAGAGCCTGATCCTGCTCCTCAACCCGGTGCCAGCTCCTCGGCACAAGCCGCGTTTGGCACCTACCCCAGCAGCTCTCCTGGAACCAGTGGCCGCTGGAAGTGGGCAGATGACAAACACACACCACACTCGGGCCTCCGAGCCCCCTCGCCGCTGCCGAGATGTCCGGGGAGGGGCGAAATGCCCAAGTCAACTGGGACGGCTCCCCAGCTCAGGGGCTGGTGACCGGTATGGGGACACACTGTCCTCAAACAGGAGCCGAGCCCCTGCTGGGGCTCACTCGGGACGTGTTCCCCTGCCTGGAGCTCACTCTCCCGCCCATGTTCTAGAGGTGCAGAGCGTGACAAAACACGTTACCAACTTCTGGCTTAACACCCCCCGGCCTGTGACTTAGGAAAACTATAACCCCACAAGTAGGACCTCTCCGGTTCACTAAAAATCTCACCAGCGATAAAAGCGCAATACACAACCAAACTCCCAATTTAATTCTCTGTATTTTGATTATTAAAATCTAGCAGTCAATACCATTTTGAGACACATTAAAGTGAGTGTGCAAAGGTTCCCCTCCTCTCTCCCCCCCCCCCCCCCCCCCCAAAAAAAAGTAGTTATCTGGTATAATTTTATGATAGAATATTTTTATAAAATCATTTGTACTAATTTAAGCATTTATCATTATATGCAAAAAGATTTCTTGATGAGAATATTATAGACGGTGCATGTTTTTGACATTAGCATTTTATTTGGATGACTAATCTTGCAGATGTGAAATTTTAATGAATTATTCATGAAAAATCTCTCCTCTGAAATTTCAGTTTGCTGCTAATGCTAGTTATTAAACATTTTATTTTTCTTTATAAAACTTGATGAAGAAAATACATGTGTGCTTACTCGAAAGAAAAGAAGGTGGGTTTTTTCCTTCAAGGTTTGTGTCAGGTGACAGTGTGACTTGGGACTTTGTTCCTCAGGGTTTTGTGGACCAAGGGGTTGATCCTGCAAACGCCCTTATGCATACGTACAACGCGCGTCCAACCCTTCCTACCGAAGCCGACAGCCCGGCTCCCGTCAGGGCACCGCGCCTGGGAGGATTTGCAGGATGAGGCCCCAGACCCCTTCTTTCACGCTCTCCCCTTTGAAGTGGAATCCAAGGAGAAAGCAAATACCCCCAACGCCCTAACGGTCAAATGCTGATGAACATTCTTGGAAAAACAGATGGATTCTTTCAAGGAGGAGCGTCTTCCTCGCTTCCAGTGCCCAAGCCTCGAACGGCCGCCCGGCCATGAAACCGCCGCTCAAATATCTCGCAATTGGATGTGGTTGGGTTAGGCCCAAGGAGAGAGACGAGACCGTCCATGAACGTGCTGGGACACCGGGCGAGATGCAACCAGCTGCTCCATGGATCAGCGCTGGGGCCTCGGGGGACGTGACACGGGAGTCACGGGGAGGGGGAACCAAAACAAAAACTTAGGACATGGCAACTTGCATTACCAGTGTGAACAACCAGCATTTTTATTGCATTTGAGAATGCTATAATGTCAGTAATTAGTACTGACTACACAACATTTTTTATTGTCTGTATCAACAGACATGGAATGATGGAATTACAGTTGATGTAAGGAATGAGTTTCTTTTATGCCTTATCAAAAAAAAAAAAAAAAAAAATCTTGTTACTGGCAGCACATACACACAAAGCACCATGCTAACAGTCTGGACTGTACCATTTTCATCAAGGCTTATGGGTAGAAGAGACTTTGTTACCTGTTCTGGGCCCATTAAAATGCAGTCGTTAACTGCAAGTTCACCTCGCAAGACTAGAATACTAAATGACTTCTGAAACATCTAAAAACTCGCTCTGAGTTCATTAACCAAAGGTACCAAAGGATTTCAAAAGAGTCTAAACACATTTTTTTTTTCCATGCTATAATGAACGTGAGATTACTGGTGATCTGAAAACTACAATAGTTCAAAATTATTTTAAAAAACTTTATATATATATATATATTTATGTATGTATATATATAAAATATCTAATGATCTGCAATATTTGTAGAACCAGAATCCCTGTCCCGGTCTCCTCCCGAAGCAGGAGCTCCAGGAGAGGGGAGGTGCGGGACCTGCAGTGGGACTCTTGCGAGTGAGAATCAAAAAAGGTAATATTTTTTGTGGTCATTTATTCTACATAAGCCTTGATTTTTCATTTCACTTCTAGTTGAATGCAGAAACCTAACAGGTTTTACATTTACAAACTTTTTTTTTTTTTTGTGGACAAGGAAGGCTTTGACTCTCATTCCTGACAGCGATTTACCTGATACATGGTACTACTTTCATAATGTACGCTTTTCTTTGAGAAAAAAAACATGTAACAAATTGTCTTTACATCTTGGCACCTTGTAAAGTTTTTTTTTTTTTTTATACAAAAGTTCAATAGTTTGACACTCCCCATTATTAATCACTACTTCACTGATAAACTTTGAAAGTGTGACCCTGGAATTCATCATGCAAAATATTTACTGCAGCAGGAGAAAAACATTTTTTTTTTTTAAACGACTTTTTTTTTTTTTTTCCTTTCAAATATATGAACTTTGTTTAAGACAGCCAGAAAAGGCAGTGGTAAGATAACAGAAGGGGTGGGAAAGTATCAAAAAAAACAGCTTAAACACAAAAACTGTACAAAAATGCTTCGATCAATGATAACAGGAGAAAAAAAAAAATCTGTCAACTATGTTACAATTTAAAAGCTGAAAAAAAAAGTCAGGGATTTTCTCCCACATGTCAGCAAATGTCATCCAATATTCTTAAAGCAAGGATAACTAAATAAAATACATGTGCAGCGTATTCTGCAATTCCATTACATACAGTAGTTTTTTTTTTTTTTCAAAGCTATTTTTTTAGTATAGTTAATATAAAGCAGTTGCACAAAAAGCAAAAGGTGTTTTGACAAACAGGTCTGCATTTATTCCTTTTGAGGAATGATATCTAAAAAAAGGACCTTTCCACCTTTTCCTCCCTCCCCACCCTCCCCCCAAAAGACAAAGGCTCACACAGACACAGTGGGATATATATGTACAACATAATAAACCCCTCCCTAAAGAAGCAACTGTATATCCAAAGGGATACAGAATCAGAATTGTAAAAATCATAGTGAAGTTTGCTTGATGTAAAGCCTGAGATTTTCAGTTGGTTCTTCTGCAAGGCTGCAACACCTGCCAGATATGTTAAAATCTAATTTTTTATTTCTTTTTCTCTTTTTTTATTTTTTTTATTTTTGCTACAGTCTTTAGACTAAGCATGCAAGACATACAACTAAGTGCAACTGAGTGAAATGTATTTTTTATTTACTCATTCCCTAACAGTTTGGACTGAGGTATGCGTACTAACAGTTTCTCATGCTGTTATCTTTACTCATGTCTAGCTACACATGCTGAGAATGAACTAATCTACCAGATTTTTATCCCCTTCTGAATACCAAACTAACCAGCAAACCACTCAGTTTAGAAGCACAGGGCTCAATTCTCATGATACCCATCTGGCTACCGCCGGCACGTCACGAAGCTGCCTGGATATAATTTAAACAAAAGAAAAAAAAATGTTTCAAATGACCACAGACTGCCCTTTTTTTCTTTTCTTTTTCTCTTTTTTTTTTTTTTTTTTTTTTTGTCTTTTGAAACAGAAAGCAGAGTTGAGTTTTATAAAAGTAACTGCCAATAAAATTTCTTGTACCAAAGCTTATGAGTGGACAGGAGTGTTATTTCCTTATGAAAAATGCTGACCAAAAACTAAACAAAACTATGCAAACGTGCCAAGATCAACCAAAATTAAAGCAGTCATCCTAGCACAGTCCCGAAACAGAAGGGGCACACAATCTGTAGAACCAAAGACCAAAAAAATTTTTTTTCATTTAATTCTAGAAATACTATTATGTGGTCCAGTTAAATTGTGGGAGCTTTTCTGTTCTCTTCTGTATTTTGTTAAACTGTCTCCTTTATCTGATACTCTAATTTTCCATGAAATAACTGTGTCTTTGCTTTCTCTAGCTCCCTTCTCATAGCTCCACCAATAACACTGATTCCTAGTTTTAGCCTCAAAAGCTCTCCTCGATTCCTCTTTACAGACTTTCGTTTTGGTCACTGTAAAGAATTGCAAATAAAAAGTAACAACTTTGGTTCGGACATCTACTTGGCCTTCTAAATTTTCTAGAATAAAGGAGCAGTTTCCCTCTCAGGTTAGCAATAGCCCACATCTTGTCATTTCCCTCTAAATTCTTCAACCTCCTTTGATCAACAATAAGAGGATATTTGGCTTCACAAGATAAAGCATATAACAGAGAACATAATTTACCTTTGTGTAATATCTTTGGTAATTTTAGGAAAAAAAAGGTACAAAGGAGAATATAAATTAAGCTCTGAAAGGCTTTTTGAAATAATAAAAAAGCTACAGTCCTACATAAATAAATGAGTGACGGAAAAGTGGTTGCAGAATGAAAATGTTTAGGTGTTTGGTGACCGAGGTTTACTGACCTATCGCAACAAATTTTGTATGTCATGTTTGCTTTGAAGAGCCTTGCCAGTTTTGCCTAACAAGCCCCGGCGCGAATTCTCTCCTAGATCTCCCGACTCCTACGGCGAGGTTTCCATACTGGCTGGTGTAATATTGCATAACAATCTTAACTGCAGTACTGGATTTGCACAGCTGAAAATTAACACTTTAGCATTAGTGGGGCTTCATCCTTATTAACTCCCGTAACAAGTTCAATCTGAAATCTAATTTGTATTCAAACAGATTAATGCCACCAAGCAATCCTGAACTGATGTTTAACCGTGAAACATCACCACGTACAATAACAATTTAATGAAGTCATCTTTCCAACCACTATTTGCAAATGCAAATGCAAAAAGAAAAAAAAAAAATTGTAATAATAAATGTATAGGTGCCCATCTCGGTAATCTTAGATATTCCAGAAAGATTTGTTGACCCATTAGAACTCGTGTTAAACAACCGAGAACCTGCCACTGTACTATTCATTCTCTAATAAAAGTGAACTCTGTTGGTGCTGCATATATTTCTTTGTGCTGTTCAATTTTGTGGCATTTGCTAATATTCACTGTTGCTGCCAAAAAAAAAAAAATAAAAATCAAAAAAATCAAAAAACCCAAACAAAAAGAAATATATTAAAAATACTGCTTTGTGGAATGAATCTGTGTTGCTTCCTACAGTGTTTCTATGTTCATCTGTCATTCATTCTCATTCTTGCAGTACTTCGTTCCTCTCTCTCCGTTGGACAACCCTTCCACATGTATAGTGCAGCATTTGGGACCTTTTCAAAAAACAACAACAAAAAAAAGGAGACACCGAAATGGAATGTTTTCCATAGCTAAAGAAAACATGGTGGCATCTGAAGGAAACTGGAATGAATGACAGAAAAAACTACAAACAATTCAATGACATTCAGCTTCGTATAATAAAAACACCTATTAACATTCATCACAAAGTACAGAAAACGTTGAAGCCTCTGAGAGGCCCTGGGCCCAGATGAGGCCTGAGGTCAGAACTTAAAAATGGTAGAGGAGAAGTGGGGCGGGGAAATAAAAGCAATACATTAAAAAGTTTGGGATAATTTTTTCTTTTAACCCCTCCCCAATATACACGCTCACACGCACACATACATATCCACACACGTGCACACACAGGCCTTCCCCATCCCAAATGGAAGCAAAAAAAAAAAAAAAAAAAAAAAGGAAAAAAAAAAAGAAACCAACAAAAAAAAAACAAGAAAAAATGGAGTAAAGGCAGTGATAATCAACATGCAGTACTGTGCAAATATGTTGTCCATTGGAATCCTTAAAATCTGGGCAAAGACTTGATCTGCAGTTCAGGTGTACATGCTCAGTTTGATGTCCTCAAGTGTCCAAAATTGGCAGGACCTGCAGTCCACAGCTGGCTGCTAAATGCAAGTGAATCAGTTTAGCAAATTTACAACACTGATGTTGACTGTAAGAGAGGAAAATCCCAAGTACCAAACAAGTCCATCCAATGCACAGAGTACAAATTCCTTTTTTCAACAAAAAGTAGAAAAATCAAAAATACTCCCAAATGGGATACTTGATGGCACTAAGAGTTAACATATTTCATAGTTGTCAAAGTGGACTGAGAATCCTCCAGACTGTACAATAATGGAGAGATTTCACAGCTAAGTTTGACGTGTTCTTCCAATCTTCATTCTCAGGATAATGATGTCAGACATACTCATTCTATGTCCTCATTTACAGGTTCATCTTCATAATCTCTGTCGTGATCGAAATCTGGACTGTGGTTGGCTGTTGTCACTAAGGATAGTGGGCCTTCATTTTCATCTGGATCTAACGGTTCTTCTTTGACATGCACAGGGTGCCTGGAACAACAAAAACACGGTCAGTCAGCAAGTCGCTCGTTTAAAAAAAATGGTTTTGACAGCGCGGGTGGTTTGGGGAGAAATGTGAGGCGGTTTGGGTATTCGGACTTGGTGTGCCAGGTCTCAGAGCTCCAGGTCACCAAGGAGAAGACCCTCAACTTCGGCGCCGGCCACCGAAGCCAAGCAAAGGCTACGCCGGGCAGGCAGTGCTTCAACTTCCCCGGGAAAACACTCTGGGAGGAGCACCTCGAAAGGGTTTCCGCCTTGGGATCGAGAGAAAACGCTCTCAGCTGACATATTAAGTTGATTAATACAATCTTTGGATAAATAAGCGGAATAAGCATCCGAATGGCAAAGCAGCGGTTTGTCAGCCCGCCGAGCCGGCGGAGGCTGGGCTAATCATCGCTCGCTGTGTGTGCGGCGTCTCTCGTTAACATGCAGAACCTGTGAGACAACTCTCCAGAGGACGACCCCAAGTGAGGTTCTATCATTAATCAACTTCAAGCAAACACAGCAAAGAGACACCATGATACATGCTTTAAACTCCAAATTAATGCATATTTTTACAAACTGTCAATAAGGGAAGAAAAGCCCTGCCAGGAAACACAAACAGAGAGGAAAAGGCTCGCTCAACACAACAATATGATAAGAAAGCACAGTCCTAACGAGAATAATAACACTGTCAGCTGTAAACAAGGCAGAACATGATCCCCAGCTCATGGTGGGCACAAGGATGTACTAAAGAGATGAGATCTGCCAAATTTCTCATTACAGCATAGCACATGAATAACCCGCAGGGGAATGGGGCTTGGTCATTCAAAACGGGTATGATAACAATTGAAAAATGTTGTTCGTAAATCATATTTACAACAAATCCTATACAAATACAAATTACCTTTTTTTTTCTTTTTTTTTTTTTTTTTTTTTGTTCGGCAGCTTTTGAAATGTAAAATAGCCATGTGAGTCAATAGTGTCTTGTTGGTGGGACTTTATAGGAAAGTAGGATTTTATTGACATTACCAAGTATTAATAATGCGACACAGCAATGGAGACCCTGTTTGCTTCCTAAATAATTGATGTTGTAGGCAATCCCTTAAAATAAAGTGTTAATGAGTTCAAGTCCCACTCTGTCTCTCATTGAGTTGATATCCACCTCCTAGAGTCTTGTTTTTCTTCCATGCAGGCTGATTTAACCCTTTCACATTGGCTACATGAAAACATAATCTGAAACGCAAACCTTCATTGTAAGAACTTTTTCTCTCTTTGTGCAGCTTTGCTTTGAAATGAATGATTTTAAATAGCCGCATTTTATTTTAGGTTTTGTGTGGATAGGAACGACAATGCAGTTTGTACTCCGTTGTACTGATGGACAGCAAGAATAAATCACCAAAACAGGGAAAATGTACTCGGTGTCCGCGTACAAGCCAAAGGTAACCCTGCCTACCTCAAGTGACCCGGGCGAACCAGCTCTACCCTCATACAGCCTGCAAAGCTGTACTGCACCCTATTTATTTATTTCAGCTTGAGCCTGGATCAGTTTAGGAAGCATCGAACTTGCTGACTACAGACATTTCTAATGTGAAGTGTGAATGCCTTTCAAGTCTCTGCATATTTCAACTTCTTGAGTGGTAAAGTGCTAGATCAATACTAAAGTATCATCTGCACCTTCCAACCCATCCAACAAAGGAGCGGTGGGGAGAAGTGATGCAGTATCCACGTACACACACCTTTTCCCTTCAAATTCAAAAATGTGTGTCCCATCAACACATCCCTGGGAGCAAAGAGGCTGCATGTCGCATAATTTTTGCAAAGATTACAGAGAGAGGGAGATTGCTTATATAATTTTGACCTAATTATCGAAAACGGAGGGATAAAAAAAAAGACTGGCAGAAGACAATTCAAATATCACAGATTACCAATTAGCATAAGCATATAAAAAGTCTCGTGAGCAGATCATCACCTCAGAGGTGTGTGTGCTAACCGTCCCGGCAGCTCGTGGCCCTAGCGAACATGAAACCATGCTGATTACTTGCAACTAGAAAAACTTACGAATAGGCTGTGGGGCCCCTCACTTGGGAGAAAACATGAAATGAGAAACAGAGAAAAAGGGGGAAAGAGCAGCTACACATATAGACCGATAAAGCATGTGCTACTCTGCCTTTATGGCAGTTATCTTTTTTACTGCTGTTTTAATCTGAAAGTCTTGCTTGTTGGCTTTCTGGTTTTTATGCTGCTGCCGGGCTGATTTTTGGTTTTGCTGTGTTTTTTTTTTTTTTAATAGCATTATTTTTGAAAACGCAGGTGAGAAATTTCCGAAGGAGCGAGGAGAGCGCACATCGCGTACAGCAGACAGAGGTGGCCTCGGCACGTGGACGGGAGTTTGCCCAAAGGCTGCTCGGGGGCCACGTCTCCGTGTCCCCCCACTTGGCCAGGGGACAGAAGCAAACGGGTGCCAGCAGGTAAGAAAGGTACCTGCTGGGCTCGCAACCACCCAAAATGCTGTGAAAGCTCCTTCAAAGGTCCCTGAACCTTTCCAAAACAAACTCTGCCCCCCACTTCTGGTTTTGTTATGAAAGCAGGTGAAACCAGGCGGTTTTCACCGAGTTTCTCTTTGAGGTTTGGTGTGGTTCCCAGAAGTCAAAAAAACCCAAAACTTCAGGAGTGAAAAGCAAAGCAAGCACCAAGTTATGAAAAGGGCTGCTCGACCCTGAGTGAGACAAAGCCGGAGAGGGCCACAAAGCCACGGGGAGGCACAGCCATGCCAGCCTCCTCCAGCAGCTCACGTGTTGGACAAACATCAGACAGCGAGCTTGGCAAAAGCTCCATCCAGAAAATTAGGAGCGTTATCTGGGTAATACAACCCCCCGGGGAGAGATCTGCATGGAAAACAACAAAAAAATTCACCTCCTTGTGTACTCTCTCAGTTATAACCACAAAGTGGTGTGTGAGGAGGAAACCTTACTGAATCCGTGATTTTGCTCAAACATTTCAGAGCAACTGAAATAAATAAGCCTAAATAAGCTCAAAGGCAAAAGGAGACTTTCATATCTCTCAAGTAAGTCTGACTCTCTATTTACCACCTCATCAAAACCCCCAACTAGGGAAGGAAAACTTCCCTTAGAGACTAAAGAATTCAGCCTCTTGAATTACAGAAAAGGTAAATGCTGGGCTAGGCAAAAATTTTTTAAAAAGTGGGAGGGGGACAGACAAAAGGAAAAAAAAAAAAAGAAAGGGTTTCCTGTTTCTGTTTTTATAGTAACAGAATTTCAGTACACTCCTTTTAAGTAGATGCCTAAGACTCCAGAAGGGGTTAACAATAAATAACCTTGCTGAACACAGATTCCCCTTCTTTTCACATCTGAGTAATTCTTTTGTTTGTCCACTCTGGGAACAGAGGAGTTTTTAATAAAGCTGACTGTTGTTTAAAGCCACTGAGTTCTGGTGGTGCACACAGCATGTAGTAGTTTGCTTTGTGGCTACCTTTGGAGCATATCAGGATGAAAGTGTTATGTCCCCAAGCTGTAATTATGCGACTACTTTCTAGTGTTTCAAAAGGAGGGGGAGAGAAGGAAGAAAAAAAAAAAACAACACCCTAGCCGTGGTTCAATGTGTCATAAAAAGGAAACGAATAAGCGGTAATAAGACTTCAGCTAAAGTGTTAGACTTCTTAGCTGTCATGTTAACAAGGTCCTTTAAACCTTACAATAAAGTTTAAAGCTTGATTTATTCTAATATACTGAAATTGTTTAAAAAATAATTTGCATTATGACAAGGAAATCTGTTCTGCGAAAAAAACTGAAAATGTCATTAACAAAGCAGGCTTATGGAAAATGAGAGGTTGCACAGCGTCTGGAAATTTGCTGTCGACTCATGATTTTATTTAGTAAACAGGGTAAATCCCACGACGTGTGAATGGTGTTCTGGCTTTAGATCCCTTCAAACTACTTAGAAGCTCCATTTTAATGGGGAAGCTCAGAGGCTGGTATTGGCACATCACCCGGCCACATTTTACTTAAGCAAAAAGAAATGTTCAGCAGAGAACACATATATTATCAATTCTGAGAAAATGAAAACACTCAGGAAACAATCATTTCCATATTACAACAGAAAATTGGATTTTCTGGTGAATAATGAAAATGAGGCATCCCTCCCCCCCGACGTCCTCTCTCTCCAGTATTTGTTCTGTGCCCCTCACCTTGGTATCAATGTGCTAAGAGATGATTATTAAGTGCAACAAAGGCCATGGCTATGCACAATTCTGGAAGATGTCCTAGACTGTTTCAACTCGGTTATTTTTCCCTCCTTGCAGTCTCTTCAAAGACAACGAAACCTTAGGTGAAATGAGAAGTGCATGAACTACACTAGCCTTGAACTTGCAAAAAAATAATTACTTGGATTAACGCAACATCATAAACGCTCATCCCTGTCTGCTAGGCCAGGAGAAACCCTTGGGAGAAGTCTTGTTTCTGGAGAAAAGCCACGTCCCTCCACTCTTCCTTCACGCCGGCCCTGCGTGGTCACGGGCAGAGGATAACAAATTGTGACTAAAACTGCCTCAAGATGAATCCGTTTGTGAGAGATGGAAAGTGTGTCAGGCAACCCTACTTTGGGAGAGATAATTAATACTGCACAAACAATCACTGGAAAAGCCAAACACACTATTTGAATGTTTTGAAGTAAATGCTAAAAGACAATGTTTAAATTAATTATTAATTAAAAATGAATGTTGCCATCTTTAAAGATTTTTTTTTTCAAAGCACTTTGTGCACTGATTTAAAATGCTGCAATATCAAAGTATCCTGAGCCTCAGATTCCTTGGTGCCCCCTCCCCTCCGACAACACATTATGCAGGTGGGAAACTTTTTTGCCATTAAATGCTAATTAGTTTCACAACTAATTACTATCATGGTATTAGGTTAATGTTTTTCTACTTTTTGATTTAGACTTACTTTTGTAAATCCCTTATTCAAATTACTTTGCAGTGAAAGACTACAAATTAGTTCTCTTTTTAATGCGTAATGTGAGCCGTGGCAAGTCAGCCAGTAATTTTACAGCCGGTTTTAAGGAACAGGCAGAAGAAAGGCAGCACGGCGTGGTCACTCGCACAGGTAGTCAACCGCTCCGCAGAGTTTTGAGAGAACTACAAGAGTTATAAACCCTGGCTTCCTCACCAGCTGCCAATTACCCGGTATGTAATGTGAGGGGAGGGGGGAGTTTACAGCTTTGCAAACTCACTCTGTCACCCCATAAATACCGAACACACCCATCGGGGCATCACACCCTTCCTGCCTTACCCTTTCCTGCGCCAGCTCGCTGCCCGGGTGCCATTCACGTTGAGCAGGGACAGCGATCCCCCATTACTTCATGTGGTTATATATGCACTCATTATACTGCCGTCTGTTGCTATAATGCTCCTATTAATTTTCCTTTTGATATTTTAAGAGCAATCTATAAATCACACAGACCTTCACGTGTGCCATCGTTAATGCTTAGCCAGAGCGTTGTGCGTCGAGTGGCTTTTTTTAGACCCACCAAACAAGCCCACTTCCCACTTCTGCCCCAGCTGGCCGTGCTTGTCGCGTGGACCGAAGGGCAGAGAAATCACATTTTTTTCACCAAGAAACGCAGTTGCCTATGAGGTTTTGCACGGTTGAAAGAAGAGAACCGCAAACAAGTTAACAATTTTATGACTCCACGTGCGTGTCGGACTGGATCGAGCTGATCAGTTTTATGTGGGAACTAGTAAACGGCCCTTTTATGTTCCAATCAACCTAAGCACGTCCCCAGATGGAGATGTCTACTCTTGCTGCTCCATCCAGGAACCTCAGGCACCAACCACGAAGGGCTCCAGAGTCACGCTTCAGCAGACGGCACGACAACGCCGCGAGCCACGCGCGCGTCCCTGCTGTACTTACATTGCTTGCATAGGGGAACGTCCTGGACTACTGTCACTCCCGTTACTGTTCGTATGCTCCATTGCACCATTAAGCTCTTCCCTCATCGCGTTGGCTAAATTGCCCAGAGTGGGATTTCCCATGGAAGCAGTAGTGTATAGAGGTATACTGTTCTCAGCCATTGAAGCCTGCCAAGGACACAAACAAATATTAAGAGCTGTGACTAACGTTTTTGCGCACTGCACAACACACTCACTTATTCCAAAACATTCTCCACATTTGCATTATTTGTAATTACTCTTTTTAAAAAATATTATGTTTTCTGATAGGTATTACCCTGATTCCACCAAGGGAAATACAACATCGTTTACATCTGGGTTTAGGCATTCATAGCTGTATTGGCTTGTAACAGGACGGAGCCTTCCATTCCCTATTTGGAATTACACCCCCTGGAAAAAATAAAATGTCCTTTTCCTATCTCCACTTTGCAAAATTATGTCTGGGGCTTTGGGGGTTTTTTTGTGGCTTAGGTCAGGGTTTGGGTTTTGTTTTTAATGAAATAGGGGAAAAGAAAAATTAGAAGTTGCTCAGTTGATAACTCCTTCCTACCAGAGCAAATGGGCATCCGGCGGGAAGGCAGCGTTACCAAGTTTGGTTTTTCTCACGACACAAGTGCAAAGCTGCCGTTAGCGCTAACTGGATCAGTCCGAGTTGCACTGATCTATCTGAGAGCTGAACCAGTCCATGTGAATTTTTTTAAGGCTCAGCAACTCAGTTCTTACCTTAGCTATTACAGATCTGACCATTTTATTTTGATTTTAACTTGTTCTAAAGAAATACCATGCAGAGGCACACTGGAGTCAACTTTCTAAATGGAAATCTTTGTAGGAAGAGAATGAGCTGTTAAATATTTTCCTTCTGATTCCCACCGTTCTGCCTGCTAATATTTACTGTGTGTCAGCATTAGCTCATGTTGACGGCACAGTCCAGTGCCCGGCGCGGCAGCGGTGGGAGCGCAGGAGCCCCGGGCCCCGGAGGAGCCCGGCGTTTGGCAGGGATGGGATGCAGAGCTTTCCAAGGCCGTAGCGCCCAGGGACTCGAAGGACATTTAACCATTTCACCCATCCCAGCTGGATCCGGCTGACATCATGTGCAGCTCTCTGAGCCGTGTCAGCGCCGGAGAGCCACAGACGCTGGCTCGGCAGCGCTCGACCTGCGCCGGGGGGAGGTCAGCCGGCTGCGGCGGCGGAGCCAAAAAATCCATCAGGCTCCAGCTCTGCATGATGCAAACCCTGCCCATGGGAGGGGAATTCATGCAAGCGTCCTCCCCATCGAACGCTCTCGTCTGCTCCTAATTTGTGGGACAGAACTCCTTGCTTGCTGCCATCCGAGCCGGCAGAGCTGTTCCCAGGCAAGCACAGCTAGAGACCTGGGTGGGGGGAGACGGGATGGAAAGGGGGGGACCACGACCAGCCCTGACTGCAGCATCTTCAGGAGCATGGCCCCTTTTATTCTTCCTTACGTTGACCTCTCCATGTGCAGCCCTATGTGTCACACGTGATTACAAAAGCTATTCTAACAGGGAGGATTATTTTTATCTTCTTGATTCAACAACCGGCAAACTCATTGTGATTAAGGGATGCAAAGAATGGTTCACATTTCCTGCACTTGGCAAAATAATGACTCAAGTTCTTCACCCACGGTGATAACTTGTAATTGCAGTAAAGCAATTTACTGGGGGAGAGGTGGGACACGAGGAGTATCTGCTATAAAGATAATAATAGGGGAGGTGGGTGTTTTGGGAGCCCCCGGCGACCCGCTGGGAAAAGAGAGCGCTGGTGAGAGCTGGAGTCCCCGTACCTTCCACACACAGAGGGGGGAGAGAGCTGCTTCTTCTCCCTGGCCACGAGGGAAAACAGATGGAGGAGACGTCAGAGGGGTCTGGGTGAAGGAGAGGGGCGGCTCTGCCACCCCACAGGAAAAGAAAAACACAGCCTGGCATCTCGGCAGCACACCGCGCCGTCCCCCCGGCCTGCGGAGAGGCGGCCGCGGCGCTCACGGGGATGTGCAAAGAGCCGGTCTTTGCAGATGCCCGCAAAAGCTGGGGGCACGTTGCTCGTTAATTATTAATTCAACTGAACGGAGGCACTGGCAGGTAAAGTGGCCTTGTGTCCCGGGAGGAAGGTTACTGCCCAAGCAAGGTCCGAACCGCCCACCCGGCACCGGCCACCTGCACGGCTTCGCCCAACCCCCCCATACAGCGCCCGAGCACCCGCTGAGATTTTGCCTCCAAAATCCAACAAGGCAGCGGGGTAGGGGGAGAGGAGCGAGGACCCTGCTGGCGAATTTTCAACCTAAACGAGAACCTGTCTCAGTGCAACGAACACTGCTCACCCCCGTTTATTAGAGGGGCCACATGAGCGGTAGCAAATCTGGCCCGGGCTCTTCTCTCCATCAGCTCGGTTTTCCTGATGCCATGGAGGGGCACGAGTACGTGCCGCTTCCAGGAAAAGTGGGAAATGGGAACGGTTTGGAGGTTAGCACAAAAGACAAGAATGGATGGAGATGACGACAACGACACGTGTTTCAGAAATAAAACACGAACAGTTCCGTATGATAAGCATATTAATTGAAATTAGTCACATAGTTAACAATGTGAAGAAATGCAAGATCATTTCATTTTTGCCTTTCAGCCTCATGAATGTAAAATGTGCTTGTAATCTTAATACTATTCAAGAGACAAAGCAGTCTTTAAAAATCACACTTCACAAGACTCAAGGGAAAATAAGTTACTAATGAATGGTATTTACAGTTGCTTCAGTTAAGCATGCTTTCCTCTGCTTTTCAGAAGTTACTGCATAAACTCAAATAATTAGAAGAAATGCAGAACATGGCTTTTCTCCTAATAATCTGCTTCTCGGTTCTGAAAAGAGAAGTCTGCTAGACCTTCCACAAAACACGTCTGCCCAAGCAAATATCCATGGCCATCAGTGAACTTTTCAAGAAACAACCCTCAACAAACAACCGGGGTGCAACCACGCGCGGTGTGAATTAATTCACATTATATGGAACAGGCTTGAACCCCTGCACAAACACATCCCCCCCTGCAAATTCAGGGCACAGTGAGGCATTCGTACCCTGCGTTCAGATAGCAAGTACCGACTTTACCTGGGGTTTTTGAGATAGGCTCAGGAATTTGTAGAGAGGGGAAAAAAAATGCCAGCCTGATATATAGCACATGAAAAAGGGCTGGAGGCACGCACACTTTCAGGCTGCAAGTTATTAATTGTGCACCGACACTTTGTGTATTTCTACATCGTGAAAAAACAGAATTTTTGTCTTACATTTACAGTGCATTTTAAACCAATAAAAATGATCTTTTTTTTTTTTTTTTTCTATAGGAATTGCGACATTTATTTTTTACCAACAATAGGAAGATATGCAAAAATAGCCCTTAAAAGAAAAGGGGGAAAAATGATCTGCTTTCTCTTTAAACCCATGAACAATAGAAGGTCACGTGCTGCAGTATCCTATCATTCAGCACATTAATAGCTGTGCTAGAGTAATTACACTTGTGGTATTTTTGCCTCAAGTGAAATTCTGAAATAAGAGGATGGAAATTATGATACTGCTGATAAATATTAATAAGTGAACTTTTAATTTTTTTGCCACAATATTCAAAATGCTAAGCATCTAGCTAATGCTGAAGCAGCCTGATATGTGTTTGCCTCCAGGGACTATGATGCTTTATGCACTTAAGAAAAAAGTTTAACGGAATTAAAATTTAATATCTAATTAGAGCAAGGCTAATATATTTTGAAATGAGTGGGGAAGACACACGCCTCTGTTGCATATTTGCTACAGTCATTAATCTTACCTGTAAAGCAGCATTGAGAGGTGTGCAGTAGGTGTGGCTGGTCTGTATGTTTTTAATAAGAGAAGGGTTACTGCATAAGAAAAACATAAAAAGGAGAGTTAAATGCAACCAACTTCTGTGCGAGGGTTTCAAGCATGTAATGCTTCCTCCCACACCAGAAAACTAGAGTTGAGACTGTTTTTCCACACAAGGTCTCTTTCGTTTCTATTTTTTTTTTTTTTTTTTTTTTTTTTAATTTAAAGAAAATAGCTGAGTTTTCAGCAATGGTTATCAAATTTGCCTTTACTAAATAAGGAACATCATTATCTCTCGCCGTTACCTCGCCATGTGTTCTACTACCCTGTGTTAGTAGCACATCTTGGCATCTCTGCTCATTTTAGCTGTGTTCAGGAGAAATTCTCCAATATTCGCCGTGTCTGGGAGCCAGCTACCACGTAAAGGTCCATCAAGAGGAGGCTATGATCAAAAGCATCACGGGACATTTTAAATACTACTTAATGCAAATGATTCTCGAAGTCGCTGGCAGCAGAGTCCCTCGCAGCAGAGCGGGGACCGCGAGGAGCGAAGATTTGAGCCGCCTTATTTCCCGCCAGGCAAAGGGCCCCGGGGAGCCTCTGCCCAGACAGTTGGGGGTTGCGGGCACGGAGGCACGACGGCAGGTACCGCTGCACGCGGCGAAGCCATACGGACCACGCAAAGCAACATGCTGCCCCAAAGGCCGTTCTAATAAAAAACATTCCGGTGTGCTCTTTTGGACCCTTACTGTAGGGACCACCTTAAGCTTACATAAGGGGCCGGATTTGAGGAAAATGAATGCCAAGTGTATCTGCTCTCTCTTTAACAGGCACGTAACTACCACTGGTTCCACCAGATGGGAAAAAAAAAATTAAAAAAATCATCAAGTACAAAGCAGATAAAAAGTGCCAATGCAAAAAATCTCCAGAAAGTTTTATCACTCACTGGGCATATTTAGTTTTGTTTTGTTTTGTTTTTTCATGTGGGAATAAACTATGGTGAGAAGCGTCTTAACTGAGCTCCTCCCACAGGGACCTGCAAGGATCAGTTGTCCTGGAGAGATGGCCTTCGAGTAAAGGTCAAAGTAAATTGCTTTGGGAACCCCAGGAATATTTGTGCGTGGTTGTTGTAGACAGAGGATGGCCTGTTGATCATCCTTACAGCTGGTCTCACTGCACTCTCAAACTTTTTGAAGTTAATTCAGTGTTTCTGTGTTAGAAGCACCTTGCTCTATTTCTGATTAAGAGTTGCAAAACAAAGCATAGACTGAAAGCAAAGGAAAATATCAAAATTAAAACTTATCTGAACCCTTTCCTGGCATATATATGTCTTCCTGACAGGTCTACAGCAGCATATCTGCACTAGCGTGGATAATTATTTTAGTCTACATTGCACTATAAACAAATGCTATAACAAACATGTCAAAGTAGAGTTATTACTGCAGGCATTTGGATTATCAGAGTAGGACACACAAAATACACATAACAACCAAAACTTTAGTTTCTTTAGCAGCAAAGGTGATGTCACTATTTCGTGAAATGCAAGTCTACATGAGATGGGTAAATCATGCAAAGCAAAGCAACAGCAGAAAAAAAAAATTAAAGCAAGTAAAAGCTCTTACTGTGCAACAAGCTCGCCAAAGTTTTCATCAGGGCAGTATTTTCGAGGACGGCCTCGCTGAATATGACGGCCACGTTTAAACTCTTCATCATCAACAGTCCAAAAGGACCCAAACTCATCCTCTACTCTGATAAAGCACTTATGCAGTGAGAGGTTGGTGCGAATGGCACCCTGGGACAAGAGCAGCAGCAAAGGAGATGAAGTGGAAACAAAGGGACACGGGATCGGGGACAGAACAGACATCAAATACAGGGAAAAGGAAAAAGAAAATAAAATGCAATAAGCATAAGCAAATGGTTTGTGAGGGTTAATATGCATTGCCACCTAAAAGCTACTAGCATGTGATGCAACAAACACCAAGCAAGCAGGGTCAGGGTACTGGTGGGCATACAAACAGTAGTGATGAGATGTTTGTCTTGGTTTCCCTTAACTGAAACAATGCGAAACCACCTGTGGTTGGTCTAACACCAGCTAGCAGCCAAAAGCCTCTACGTTAAACTGTAAGCATGATCCAAGCTAGGCTAAGAAGTTCAAACATGGTGGACATACCCACTGATCTTTTGTGGCCTTCGTTTTTGGAACTCTAGTTCATCCACTGTCCATACTGCCCCTTTAACGTTTTCTACTCGCACAAAACACTTGTGAAGACTAAGATTATGACGCACTGCATTCTGCAGCAAGTATAAAAGAGAAAACATTCAAAAACTTTCTATGAGAAAATGCTCATCATTGTCCAAGAACAGCAGCACAGTCAGCTTGACAGTCCTCATTTTGCAATGTTAAGCCCCTTCCCCTCCCCACACCCGCTTGCTTTCCCCGGCTTTTTACATCTTATTTTGCAAAGACAAAACAAATACGAAAGCTTAAACTCAAGATTAAAAATTCAAGTTACTCTTATCAATTATCCCCAGTGTGAATGAGAACAGCCATCATTTCAAGCATGCACATAATACAGCACGTTTCATACAGAACACAAGAGGAACATTGCTTAGACATTTTCAAAACAAATATATACGCTCTGCAAAGAGAAACTTCTCCTCTCCTGGAAAAGAAAGCAGTTAGAAAGAACAGAAAAGATTCCACGTAAGTACAGACGGCTCAATTTAGCAGGGAGGCACTGGAGCTGGTGTTGCTGCGGTTTCCCACAGCTGGGCTAATGCAAATCAGGTGCTGAACCTCCATCCACATCCACGGCACGGACCGGGGGCTCGGCAGCACCCCACCGGCCAGCACGGCACCGACTCCTGCCTCCATGGCTTGCTCTTATATGGAAGTTGGCTCCTATTTCTGGCAGACTACCGTACTGACTGATCTGAGCCTCTGCCAAGTGAAAACATGAGGAGGGCTCTCCGAAACAAAGTGATAATATCCCCACAGCTCATCACCCAGAGGGACCTGCGCTTGTGGCATCCGATGCTCAGATGTCCTCTCCGCAGCTCGGCGCCGGGGAAGGATGAGCCTGGCCGACCCCTCCGACGTGCTCAGACCTTTGCTGAAGCTGGACATAACGAGACACCTCACACTGTCACGGCAAGCCGTGGCTTTTCTGTCCCTGCTCCCGCTGAAACGGTGCCGAGAGCCTTGTTACTCCTCAAATGAAGCGCCATGCTCCTTCCCCGTTTTACGACTTTTCTGAGCAAATACCCTCCTACAAAGCCACTTGGATTTGTACATGGAGCTTGTCCTGAGCACTGCTGAAAGGGGCTTGGTAAACAGGGAAAACAGAAGAAGCCATTTGCTGAAAATATGCAGGCGAACAAACTCCATCCATCATCACTGGCACCATTGATTTAGTCAATCTGGTTGACTCGTTAGCAGGCACAATGCCAGCCAAACACATGGCCCGGGTCTAGGCAACCAAGAGACTACAATTTTTTTTCCTTCTCTCGTCGTCTCTAGTTTGTTTTTTTTTTTTTTTTTTTAATGAACATCGGGTCTGGATGGTGAAAGGGAGCTCTAATCATGAATGTCTAAATCACTGTGCAAACAAAGGGTACACACAGTGCATTTGTCATGTAAATTAAGAGGCAGTGGTGTGTGTGCCTGGGAGGGGAAAGCTAAGAGTCTTTTGCTACTTTTCCATTTCTCTGCAATCGCTAGAGTAGTCCCCACACTCCCGTCCTTGGTAGAGGGGAAGATTCTGGGCTCAAACTGGCTTCGCTCAGATGTTTGAGCGCAAACGCGTCTCCTCTGGCTGTAGGTGCCTGAGCCTGACACTTCGGCTTTTCCACACCCATCTGCTTGTGAACTGGTGGAAAAATAAACCTTGAATACGCTTCTCCTCTCAGCAAGGAGAAATCTAGCAGAAAGTCAACCTGTCCATCAGATCCGCTTCCTTCTGCCCTTTACTTTCTTCTGTTCTTATTTTTCAATGTTTTTTTGTTTTTTTTTTTTTTTTTTTCTCCTTCCCACCTCTTCCAGATTTCACTACTGTTGAAATTTTTGGCAAAATCCCTGATTTTGAGGTGGAGGAAAAACATGCTAACGCCCCACACCTTACGGGCTAAAATCAGCCAGCTCAGCAACTGTTGGTGGGTGCCGCACTAGTGCAACCCGACACAGGGCTGCCGGCCCACATCTGGGTAACTCAGGCAGTTTCCTGTGAAAATGGGAACACTGTCAAGTCTGGAGCAAAATGTAAGAATAATAACGCTATTTCCCCCAGTGAAAGCTGATCCTGTAGTTCATACAACACTTGATCAAACGCATACAGCAAAGTTCAGCGAAGGGAGTCCTCGGAGTTTGTAAACAGTCTCTAAATACACGGTTGAGCAGAAATATTTGTGTTCTTCTCTAAATAAATCTAATGCCGGAGAAATACTTTACAGTCTGTTCGTGTTCTCTTGAAGTCAATGTGTAATTGATGGTTAAGGCTGCTGGATCGGGATCTTGCTGGGTATGTTGGGACAGACAAGTTGAATAGTTGCAAGACGTCCATGAAGTGCTGCCCTCACTTTCTATTTTCCATGTGATCACTTATTTAAGGAATTCACGACAGAAAAAAAAATGGTTTGTTTCTCCTGCCTCTGGATACTCGCTATCTAACAGTTCTATTTGAACAATACCCCAACGTTTCGGAGCCACACCTGCAGCCTGTGCCTCATGGCTGCGACTCAGTGCCAGCAAATTACTCCACAAAATAAAAGCAAACAGACACTGCCTCTGATCTGTCAGAACCAGTTCACAGTGCTCCCCCAGCAATCAGCTTAACAGAAAAATTAGGAGCTATTATTGTAAGATTATATATTTACCTTGTTAAAAATATTTGTATGCAAGCCACTTTTGCAGAAAAATTACCCTGAACATGCTTGAATGTAGTAAATGAAAGGGTTTGTTATTTTAATAACTGCTCAGGCTCTGCTGTACTGCATTTTGGGAAAGAGGTTCATTTTTTAAAGGTCTTTATTCCTGCACTCTTCTGTGTTTTTGAAAGAGGGCTCAGGGAAGTTTGCCCACACCAATCCCTGACCCTAAAACTTGGGGAACACTGACCCAAACGCCCCCTAAGCATTAGCTGAAGGTGAGCGCAAATCAGCACGTATATATTCAAATTATTCCGATTCTGCAATTAGCCCCTTGTGCTTGTTCAGTGCCCCGTGGGCTTCCCGTCATGCCAATCCAGAGCTGCATTTTCATCCCTGTTGTTCCTGAAGCCTGGCATAAATCTGCACAGTCTTCAGCACAAAAACCTGCATTACTTCAAGCGGTTGCCAATTTTGCGAGTGCTGGCGGAACCTGGGGGGAAGCTTTTCTTCCCTGTTAAGTGAAGCAGGACCTGGACACCTGCACGAGGTCAAGGTGTCCAGGAGGGGTCTCGAAATGGCACCTGCCTCCCCCGGACACACCTTGCCCTTCTGCCAGGCCCAGGCTCCGCAGCTCAGCCTCTCTCCTCCTCCTCTGCAGCAGCACACTGTAAGGGCACATGGCTTCTGGGACTGGATTTTACGTGATGCACAAAGCTAATTCCTAGAACTAGCCTCGCAGGAGATACAGCCAGGACTGCCTGCTGCCTTCTTCCACTCCCCCCTCCACTTTCCTTCCCTTTGCTGCTGGAATTAAATAGGATTTTTACTTTAGCACCCACACCTGCAGCTGCTGAAAAGTCCTACTGGAACCACTCCAGCAGCAAAAGACAGGCAGGTCTAAAAGGATCTTAAATCAGGGAAAGTTAATTTCCTTTCTGGATAGTAAGGAAGCTGCAAAGTGAAACACTGCTCATGTTTTCCAACTGCAGCAAAGAATCAAAGCAGCAATCACAGAGACTTTTCCTGAACCTAAGAGCTTCTAGACCAAGGTTGAAAATGTATAAAATTGTGCTGGGATCTGAATTAAAAGCAAAGCACGATACTAAAAACCAAGCTAACTTCCAAGGACCATTTTTAGCTCTACCCTTTGACAGAATTAGTCCTAAATGCAGGCTGAGACAGGAAAAACAGAAAGAGCTGATGAAACAGCATGTATGGGATATATTCATCCTGCTTGGTCATTTGAAGTTGTTTGAGAGCAAGAGAGCTGAGCGATCTAGATTAAGAGAGGCTCAAAGTACCAGGGGTGCAATTTTTACAGCGATACAAGATCCTGTTATTTAATTCATTAATTTGTAATTGTATTAGCTTCAGAAGCCAGTGTGACTATTATAATGCTCTATACAAGGGAGGGAGCTCCCCCGCTCCCTCCCAATAAAATAAAATTAACTCCCCAGACCTCTTATCTAACAATATCTGAGATAGTTATGGTAGGAAATTAAAGTGCCAAATAACAAGTTTATTTCTGTTGAACACATTTCTTATTGTGGGGCTTTCTTCTTGCATATTATGCTCAATAAGTTTCTGCACGTGATTAAAAAAAAAAAAGGCAGTTTATAACAGATCTGTATATGTAGTTAAGAGTCAATTGATTGAGGAAAGAAATCTACCGATCTACAGATCCTAGGAAAAAAGCGGTGGTTGTGATTACAGTCTGCATAACTAAAGAGACAAACAGCGTATCTTCTAATGACACAATAACTTTACCTCTTTTTATTTTTTTCCTAATACGTTCCAGCTGAAGGGCTTGAGTTTCACTGCTAGCAGCAACCACACAGAGGAACTCGTGGCATAATCACAGAACATAAAAGCCAATAATGGGGATTCAATTAGTGGTTTTCAAAGGCAGAAGAATTTTTCTGCCAAATATCAAATTGTTCCTGCAGATAAGGCACCCAGTGTGTGTCAGAACTGCCGATCTAAATTTTCATGTCCACATGTCGTTACAATTTGTTATGTCATCAGCAATGTCTATTCTGTACATGTCAGACACCAAAGGCGAGAGGCGTGGGCGGGCTAAGGCTTACCTTCCACGTCGCCGCGTTGCGTCTGAAGTAAGCAAACATTCGCGTGAACCAGTTGTAGATTTCATTTAGTGTTAGCTGTTTTTCTGGAGATTCGAGGATGGCCTTGTGAAGCAAAGCGATTGCAAAATCAGTTACGAGCACACCAGTACAAACTACACTCACAGTTTTACTTTACCAAATACAAAAAGGAAAGAAAGGAAGAGAGAAAGAAAGAAATGGAGAAAGAAAGATAGTAAGAAAGCAAGAAAGAAAGAAAGAAAGAAAGAAGAGATTTGGAGCAAAAAATCCAGAGGAGGGTTTTCATAATATGAACTAAGATTAATGGCTGTATTTAACAGTTCAATGCCAAAATTCAAAATGGAATTATCTAATTGTTTTGAGTTTTTATTTCTGTTTCCTTACAGAAATATTAATTTATTAGTCATTCATAAAGCAGAATCAAAGAGAAATGCAAAACATTTCACTAGCTGATTAAAGCTCAGTAATTATTTAGAGCTCAGATTAATTCTAGGGATCAGAGATTACTGTAGCTTGTGATAATTGACTTGCCATCTTTAAACAGGCTCATTTTCACTGTTGTGTGAAATGAATTTCCTAATAATCACATCGTATTGTAATACTTAATCAAAAGCAATTATGTTATATATTGCAGTTCTAAAAACCCTTATAGTAAAGGTTTGAGCATTTGAGCACGCTTACATACCAAAGGTTTGAAAATCTATTTAATCCAGAGTGTGCACATATAGGGAGATATTTTTTTTCTAATCCAAATGCGTGTGTTTGGCTCAGCTTACCTGTCTAATTAAGGATGCATACGTGAACGGTGGTCTAACTTCTGCGTTCTTATAAAATTCTTGGTTCTGGGCAATATCTGCTAAATAAGAGCAGTTGTTCTGTTATCATCACAGCCTGCCGCTGCGGGGCTGTGGGCAACAGCCAGCCGCCCCCCCAGAGGGGCTGTGCCACCAGAACCCCTTTACCTGAAGAAATGGGGACGTTGTATTTATCCGAGTACCGCCTCCGGATGGGGCCAACGTTGTGCATGCTCGTGGTAGTGATGACCGACGGTCCCTGCGTGACGGGAGTGATGGGCGCAGTCGGGGTGGTGGGAGTATGAGGTAAGCTCTGCGGAGACGCCTCGGACGCAGTCTTGGAAAGCGTGACGCTCGATACCAGATTCAGCTGCGGAGGGAAGGATGACGGTTTCGTTACAAACGGCATTTCTGGCTAATTAAGGGCTGCAGAGAAAATTCTCGATAACGGAGTCCTCCTCAGTTCGAAGCAGACAACAGAGCCCGAGCGCTTGCTTCGGCACAGAGTGCTGTTGTAACATCTCCATTAGGAGCCAGTAAAGGGAAATAAATGTATACATTTCCAAATAGACTTAAAAAAAGAGTAACGTAGCCTGCTGCCAGAACTACAGATTGTGGATTTTCACCTAAACCTTAAAACAAGATCTCACATAGTACATAATCATTTTAATATTTTATTTTCATTCTATTGTTTCTAACCCCCACACATCTCTTATTTCCATGCTATCATTATGCATGGCTTCTAATCAGTCTTCTTAGATATTTCATTGGAGGCATCAGGCTTAAAATAAAAGGCAAGGCTTTCCTAGGGACGTACCAGGGAGAAATGCAATCTCTCTCTTCAGCGTTTGGGCTTTTTTTTCCCCCCCACCCCCCTCTGTTCATCCATTTTAAAACCAAAGCCCAGAGTAAGTTAACACTGGAATAATTTAATTAATCACGTCGCATGAAATACTGCAAGCATTCAGCCCAGCAGAAGTGGCACCATTCTTTTTTTTTTCTCCTAGGACGGAAGGCATCAGCGTTACCTGCATGAAGCCCAGCCCCGGACAAATGGCAGTTTGCCCCATCAGGCTGTAAACCACAACTGCCTCTAGGATTGCGTATCAAACCCAGCCCCAAACCAAGTGTTTTTGATACACAACCCTATTTATATAACCAGCATCCACATTCCTCCCCGACCCTTTCTTTCTGCCCTCTAACGTCCTTTGAAAGACGATGCTCCCTCTCAATAGGTCACTCCTGCTGAAGTATTTTAAACAAACAATCTGATCTCTTAACTACAACATCAGAAAAGATGACTGAGAAAAGGGCTCTTTGACTACTTCCACATTTCCTTCCCTTGGGCAGTTTTGCGAAAAACATTGGTGAAATCCTGACCCCACTGAAGACAGTAGCAAAATTCCTACTGAATTTAAGAGGGCCAGAATTTTACAACTTTTGTTCGTGATTAAAATTCCTTTTTGCTGGACATTAAACCTTTTCAGATGAAGGCAAGGCGCACTACTCAGCTATGCCCCCAAATATCTCATGTTTATCCATAAGGCACTGTATTAATTTTCCTTGTATGAAAGTATCCAGATAAGAAAACTCCTATTAGCATTCCTCATATGAGTTAATAGCCACAAATAACGTTTCTTTATAAAAATAATAGGATTTATCCAAAGCAAAGGTAGTGGAAAATAAAGGGCTCTGATAGTACAGAAAGGATGCCAACGCAAAAAGACCATGGCCCCCAGAAAGGGCGCAGATGAACGCCAGATAAATTGTGATTGCTTTTCCCTGGAAAAAAGCCGGAGAGCGCGAACCCGGCGAGGGACGGTGCAAGGCGGTGAGATCCGGGGAGTGATTTCGTGGGGACACCGCGGCGGCGCGAACCGCGACCGGCAGCCCGGGGGTGAGCCCGGCCCGCGGGTGGACTGGCGTGGTTTAAGGACTCCGATTAGGGACCCGTCTATAGCAGTGTCTCCCTGTTATCCATCCATCCATCCATCCATCCATTACATATGGTAAAAGGACCAGTGACGATAATAACAGTACAACTGACAGGTCTCACCATGAAATTAAATCTACTGTATTTTATCTCAGTTTCTAAATGGACGTTTTAACAGTCCGGTAACTGCAAGCAAATCTGCATCAATTTTAAGTGCCCATCTCCAGCGCAGGCTCGGCAGCCGGGCCCTCCTGTTGGAAAGATCAGTGCTCGTGCTTCATCATTACGGCTCCAACTACTCCATTTCAAAAGAGTCCCCTTCCTTTTTTAGTGTGTAAAAACTTAACATTTAATCTGTTTCTACTAGGGAACTGCGAGAAAGCATCCACAAAGGTCAGCGTTCCCGGCTTAAAGAATCTGAATCAAGTCAGATTTCTTTAGGCTTTTCAGCATAGGTAGCAACTAGGCATAAACACAGAAGAGGACGAGCAAAGGGGGGGGCTTTAACAGGCTTGACAAATGACACTGCGATTCACACCCACTGCTGGGCTGCCACTAATAAGCTACAGAGGAAGCAGCCAATCTCAGCTAATTACCAGATAAAATTGTATTGTAAGGACTCTAATTAGGAGATGCTTATGGAGGTGATCTAATGATTAAACGCTGCATCCAAGTGACCCCACCATCAATGTGCAGTGGTGCAAGATGTCACCGGAATATTTTGTAGAAACAGTAATTTTATTTCAAGGAGGGGAGGCAGTAATATTTGTAATAATGGCTATGAGGTAAACTAATTAAAAGACAGTTCCTAAAGGAAGACTGTGGCTTTGAGCAGCTGTGGCCGTTCCAAAACAAAGTGCCAAATCTCAACAGAGGAGCTGCAGTCAAGTGGAAAATTTCTGCCTGACCTCTGCTCTCGCTATTAATTCGCAGGAAAACTAATGACACATATACATATTCCCACAAAATTGTTCTAATTGCTAATTTGCCAAAGGAGCCCAGTTTCCAAATTAAACATGACTGCAGTCTGTGAGGAAAGAGAGAACAAAAAGCTGGAACGCAGCGAGTCTGCTGTGTTTCACCTCCGACGACCATTTGCGAGCCTGAACCAACAAGTTAATGAAACACGACCTTGTCGATCGCTAGCGAAGTTTTTCCTTTTTCCGGGTTTTATTTGATGACACTCTCCTCTTCCAGCCGGGGTCCGATCCCTGCCGGTGCTGCTCCCAAAACACAAGCTGGGGTAAGGGAGGAGAGGGCTGCGCTCCCTCCGCAGACCTTCGCTGCTGCTTTCTTTGTTGCATCTATAGCGCAAAGGCTGAAAAATCCGTTGTGAATTAGAGCAGAATGACAAATTATGAATGGTGTTGGTTTTGTTACCATCTTGAATTATTAATCTGAATGGTAAACTATTAAATCTTAATATTGGCGTCAGTTAGAAACGTGAAAGTGGCCATGGACAATCGTGCAGGGCAAAGATCAGGGAGGGACCGGGCTGGGAGGGTTTCTTTTCCTGATGGAAACTTGACACAGCTTCTCCCTGTTTGCATTTTCTATTTAAAAGCAAGTTACTATGATTAGAGAAGTTGTTCATGTTGGTATTTTGTACACAGCCTGCTTCCCACATTCCGGAATTTTTGGATGAGGTATCACTGCTGTCAGAGGGGAGGGAGCCCAAGTCACAGAGTGAGTACTTCAATGAGCAAGGACTCTTGCACTGCAATAATGCACAACGTGGGGCATTCTCCAAGCACACCAGAGAGTCCAGCCCTTGTACCAAAGAGTTTAATGTTTTTGTAATGTTTGTACTGGGCAGGGGGGGAGGGAGAATTTCCTCCAGCCTTAAAAAAAGAAAAAAAAAAAATACAAAAAAACCTCCTCAAAACAAGAAGAAGGAAAACAACTGAAAAACCACCAAAGCCCGCAATAATTTTAGATCCTAAAACTCTGCAAATTCAATCACTGAACCTTGTTGGGTGCTTTGTCCAGTCTTGGTTTTTGAGCACATTTCCTTATACTGTTTTAACTTAATGCCATAATTGTTGCAGCTTTCAATATCCTGCTTAAGTTTTTATTATTAACCTTCCCTTTCAAGAAATCGTCATGTCTTCCTATTAAAGGTGAAGATTGAGTCATTTTCTTTTTTTTTTTTCTTTAGATATAAACAAGGCTGCGAGGTAACTCCTTCACCCCGTAAAATAGGTTTCCAGTAAGTGGCTCTCCCACTTAGGGGTAAGTCTGATTTCTTTTTGTGTAAACATTTTACATGACAATAGTGGCTGCACATAAAAAAGCCCCTGAAACTCTTTTAAAACGATAAAGAAAAAAAAAAAAAAATCTGTTTTTAAGTGTCACAGTGGGGCCATACCCTCTGCTGCAGGGCAGTGACTCCTCTGCGATGGATGCTGCTCCTCTGGTCCCAGCTGGGGCTGAGGATTGAGCTGCACCAAGTTCCCAGGACTGAAACACTCTGGAGCAGAGACTCCTTTTCTTGACACTAAAGGTTGGAGAGAAAGCTAACGCTGGGCCTGAAACTTTGTTAAATGCTGTGTCTTCCTCTCCTGTTTCAGCCTGGACACATTAGTGTATTAGATGCAGAGCCTGGCAGGCAGCAATCACTTAGCAGGTGTTGTTATTGGCAGGAATACTAAGGAAACCAAAGCTGAGGAGTGAGACTTAATGAAAACCAGTATATAAAAACAGCTTTTGTTGTGCTTGAGAATCTCTCTTTATTGCTGCGTATCGTTATTTTTTCAAACTATAAAGTACGGCTACAGCAGCTAAAATGCTCAGTCATTACCTCAACAGTTAAAAGACTATTTTTTTTTTAATGCTTTGTTATTACAGTTGCTAAAAACAGTATTTCAAAACAATCATAACTGCTATGGTTAGGATAAAAAAATACATTAAAGAAGGGATATCTAACAGTGCATTTTATTTAAAGTGCCAAAAGTTTCTTTAAAAGTCCTCTGTCTACTTTTTAAAAGATGGCTATAGCACCCAGTATGCAGAATTACTTGTTGGTTGATGCTTTTTCCTTTTCCTTCCCTTCCTACGAACTTCGACACAAGTTAATCCCCCCAAAGCAAGCACATTTCCATTTTAACCTATTATGCTGATCACTAACACCAATAAAAATAGCATGTAGGGGAAAGTACCTTAATAGCAAAACCAGAATGACAATTCTTGAGAAATCGTTTTTCTGGCTTCTGTGTGGTGGGGCTTTTTTTTGGTTTGTTGTTTTTTTGTTTGTTTGTTTTTTGTTTTTTTTTTTGGTTTTCTACCTTGAAAAAAATTCACCTTACGAAAACATGTCACAGCATATTCCTTCACAGACAGCTTTGTTCTCACTTTATTCAGGCCCTTAAAGTCTCACCAAAACAACACATGCAGCAGCAATAGGAACAACTTTGTGTGCTCCAAGTGCTAAGTCGTGAGATGCTTCCATTTCCTTTTAAAGTGCTGCACCGTTGGGCATTTTAATGAGGAAGCTGGGCTTGTTTAAGGGTGGTGCTGAGCACTGCCCCAGCTCCCGAGGTGCTCTCCCTGCCCAGCCTCCCTCCTGTCTGCCCTGCCGCCCAGCAAGAGCTGCCCTTCGCAGTACGCCAGACACGGACTGCGCCCTCCCCGCGTCCGTACCTCTCCCAGTGATTCAGGCCACCCACCACTACGCTACCCAAGAAGGGCCTTACATCTCAGCGGCTTTAATAGGACGGAAGAGCTTTACTGAAGAGATGTCTTGGTGGACTGGTGCAGTGAAATGCACGGGCCGCTCCACCTTCCCGAAGCCAAAATTAACGCAAGGAGCTGAAGTCACCCGACGGTGGGGATGTGACGGGTGGACATGGCTAGGCTGGACAAGCAACCCCTCCCCAAAGCTGGGTGAGTTTTAAATTAATGCACAACCATCAAGAACCGGGCTGGGGTCCAGCCTGGTCCAAAACCACCCGCTCAGCTACTGCCTGAAGCCCCAAAGGCAAAGACGGTACCAGTGGTCAGTGCGGATTACAAACGGCACGTGCTTAACAGAGATGCTCAGTCACCAATTTTACCTGTCAGTAACAAAATAGTTTAAAAACAAGCATTAAGATCCTTTAAGCAGAATAAAAACATTTCCTCAGTCATGAAAAGGCTGTAATTTTAAATCCCAACTCAGTGCTATGTTTGGATTCGCAGCTGCTCTTTCCTTTAAAATCACCGACGGGCCGTAATATATTAATTCTAACATACACCTTGCATTAGTTATGTTGGCAAAAAAAAATTAATTACTGGATGTAAAGAATACTTCGCACTGCAATAATGGTCATCAGATCTTTTTACCAAAGTCCTATCCCACTGAGTTAAAAGGACTAGGGTCTAGCACAGTCTATGCAGTGCCTGTGTATTTTTTTCACTAGGAAAGCACAATTTATGCAAAACACTATACTTCTACATTTTATAATTAATTTTCAAATGCTTCACCTATACATATTTTAATAATTTCTGATTTATCAGATGGTATCTATAATAAATTTTTCTATATTTCAATAAATGAAAAGAAGGCAGTTTCAATCCAACAACAGAGTGCCACACAATATAGGCCTGTCAGGCACCAATTTTTACTTCTAACATGTAAGTTAAAGGATAAGGAATTTATAATGCTGCCTGTGAACGAAACCACTTTTCATACACAAATGTGATCTTTTTTTTTCCAAAGGGTAATACAACAGTACATTTACATAAACTAATCCAAACAATCTATGTATTTGACAATGGCAAACCTCACACAGACTGCCTATTGTTGGTTTACATCTTGGAGTTCTTTATGTTGGCTTGTAACACTGCTCTAGCTGTCAAAGGTTTGACTTGGACTCTAAATAAATGGTTATAGAAGTGCTGTGCAGCGATATTGGACTTCTTTGCAAAAGAAAACCTGCTGTGTATGAATTCAAAAGCTATTAATTTTTCAGTCAAAAATATTCATGCCTATTTCTTTTAATAAAGAAACACTGTGCTGAGCAACTGAGAGATAATGTTGACTAGTGGTACAGAATTTTCAATAGAGCAGTTAAAAATAAATTTAGTAGGAGGTCCCCAACAAAGCTATAATTTTCCAGAATGTAAAACATTTTTAATACTAATCAAGACAGCCCTTTTCCCCCTGCGTTCACTTTTTTTTTTCTCCTTTTTTTTTTTTTTTTTTTTTTTTTTTTTTTTTTTTTTTCCTTTCCCCACTGCTTTTCCCTGTTTATTAGCTGTTAACACTAATCTTCATGGCGACACCGCCTGGTATCTCCATAGCCTACAACACCCGCGAAAGCTTCCTGCCCTCCGCGGCTGAGCATCGATCACAAGCTGCCTTGCCAAACACTGCTCGCCTTCTTATGATTTCCTCCCTTTAGTTTTTAATCCTTCCTCCTGAGGGGCACCGCTGTTATGAAAGGCCTCAAGGCAGAGTGCTTTGAGACTCCCAGATTATTCCGCTGTTTTAATTTTTAATCCAGTAAGAGCTATAGAAACCAAACCTCCTCCCCATTCTGTTGGGTCTACATACTTTGCCAACAATGCGCTGAAGCATTTGCATTCAGGCTGAGATGGATACGAGGAACTAGAAGAATGGTATTTTTATAGATACTGTAAGTAGTTTCTACTCTAGAGGGCTGGTACCCACTGGATCAAGCAATTTTCGGCATCTCAACAGCTTAAATGGAAGGGTTTATACCTACCACTCAACTCTCTCCAAGAAGGCACCAAAATTTCCTGTTGACTTTGACATCTGCTCCGGTGTTACTGAATAGCCTGCAATTTTCTGTCTAGTAGCCTCCCTATGCACTTCTGCAGCCATTTATTTCCAACTACATGGAAACTGAGAAATCCTTTTCTAGTAAAAATGTGTGCGCGAAGTGTTTAATGATTTTATGTTCTCTGTCTCTGTAATGTGTTCTGTTTCAGACATTAATTTTGTCTACCAACTGCATCTTGGCAGGCTACCATATTTGCTGGGTTAATAGTCTGACTCCTTTTTATTTCTATCACCATAAATCACACATATATGGGTGTGTGTTTGCTTTATTTATAGAAAAAAAATCAGTCAAAACAGATAAACCAATACTTTGTCATTATGCTGCATCATTGCATATTGATTAAAATTGCTAGTACTAACTATAGATTGTCAACGCTCAATTAATTTTCACACAATGACTCAAAGCAAAATCAAATAAAGCCAGTGTACCTTTAAATCTTACAAATCTTAAAATCAAGAAGCAAAGCACTCTCTCCATTTTGAATAATCATTGGAAGCTCCAAGGAACATTTTCAGCGTCAAAAGGTTGGGAGAAAACAACAGCTGAAGAAGCGTCATTTTGGTCAGGGAACGAGATGGTGGATTCACCACCCTGGTTTGGGGGGTACCTAGGAGTTGCCTTGAGCCGCAAAGCCACTCGCTTCCCCAGCACCCCCTTTTTTAAAGGGCAATCTGGGGTGGGGAAGGTTTCCCTTCTCTGTTTCAGCAGTATAAAACCTGATACTGGGTAACCGTGATCATCGTCAGAACATGCAGCTAGACTCTCTTCTTCTACTGTAAATGTCTGTCAGACAGGGAGAAAGCAAAATAAATATACTAAATATAATTTAATCACATCTCCTTCCTAACACTTCCTAGGATTTCATGCAAGTTGGACTGATGCAAAGCAACTTACAGGCTAGTAGGTGAGGCCAGAAAAAGGCCGAAAGCATCAGCTTTAGAGCAAAACTTCTTTCAAACTCCCTGAAGAGAGGGGGACGGCGAAGCCCGAGTGCCCAAGGCGGTGCCTCTTGCAAAGCAGCGCCTTGCACCTCCTCACCACGACCGGCTCCGAAGGGCCACACTTTTTTGCATCACGCGCTCCGGTGGGTTACAGGAAAGAGAAGTCTGTTGTGAGGTTTTGTTTGCTCTCGGCACAGTTCAGTACTTACGGGCTGAGGGGTGGCTTTTGGTTCAGTTGATTTCACATGCAGGTGTGTCATCATGGCTTGCAGGCGCTCTTTATCTTTTGCAAGCTGAAAGGAGGGGAAGAAAAAAAAAAAATTCCTCTGTTACTCATACGAATAAAACCCAGCCACTGCTTATTCCTAATTAAACAGCTGGCACCGAGGCATGAGACAGAAGAGTTTTATTGCTGAGTAGTTTGGAAATTGTATATGGTCTATTCGTGAGGTAAAGCTAACGCGTGGTGCTGGGTGTCACTATTTCCCAAAGCAAAATGCATTAGCCCTCGAGTGAGAAGAGCTAGACCTGGCGGCACCAAGAGCTTCACTCTAGCCCTGACAGCTAAAAGACAACAGTGAATCATGTTTATTAACCAGCCCCACTCCAGCTCAGGAGGCGCAGCAGAAAGCGAGCGAGGCAACGGCTCCGAGATGCATTTGCCTCCTTTCAGACCAGAAAACAAGTGGCACGGATGGACCGTGGCTTTTACAACACGTACAGGCTTTGCGGCATGTGCAGTGAGCGCAGAGACAGCGGTGGTTAAACCACACGAGGCACGGCGGGCGGCCTCGGCGCTAGAAAACGCCCTGCTTTTATTTGAGAATTTTATTTGAGAAGGTGGCACAGCCCCTCAGCGGGTCACCCGGGGCTGCCAGGCTGGTAACCTGAGCAGGAGCCCCCGAGCGCGGGGCAGGAGCAGCGGTGGGAGTTGCCAGCATCCTTTCGGCGTGTGCCTGAGCAGGGTGGGAAAGGCTAACGGTGTCAGGAACCGCCCCGGAGCGCTCATCGCCCGGCACCCAACGCCACAGGACCAGCGCTGTCGCCCTTTCTCATCGGTCAACATCGTTCCCAGGAGTTAGGGCAAAGCTCCTGCTCCAGATTGCTCTTGCATTTTTCGGTTGAGATCTGCGCCAAGCCACAGCTGGTGTCTTGGGTGCACACCGTACGCATCCTCGGCCAGGATGGCTTCCCAATGCATTTGGAAGGCACTGGCCACGCGCTGACTCTCCTTATTTTTGGAAACGAAAAATTTTTTTGTATGTGCGAATAGGACTTTTTCCAGCTGCTCTTCAAGAAAAATACAGTGGAGAGATAGTAAGAAACAATGCTCATGAAAAAGGGGCGTTATTAACCTACATGCCCAACATAAAGGCTCCTGTTTCCAGCAGGACTTGGACCAGGTTCTTATAAATGACAATTTTTGCAGAGCTGAGTTTTTGCTTTAGACGAGCCAGATTCCTGGTGCCAAGAGGAGAACTGTGCTCGCATTCCAGCAAAACTTTAAACAACCTGCACACCTTATCACCGTCATCTGTTTGTAGCAGTAAAGTTGGCCTAAGTGTATATAAAAGGAGTCTTGGTCATAAATCCCCATTCATAACCTTAGAGTCAAGGTTGTCTTGCTCTTCGCAAGGCGAGGGGTTTCTGACCGTGCCAGAAAGGTGTCACGATGGGATAACTTGGCACATGGGTTTCCAAGACAGGAATTAAATAAAGGAAAAAATGGTGTCACCGCTGTGTGCTCTGGAAGTGCAAAAGCAAAACCACTGGGCTTTTCAAACGGTTCCGCTTTTCTTGGTCAAAAACCTCAACGGCAAGAGAGAAAACCTGACACCTACAGCAGATCTCCTGCAATCTCATCACCAGATCTGCGCTGGGCTTCACAGGAGAGCCGAAGAGCAGCAACGGGCTCTTATCGTTGCGCTGCAGCAGAAACTTCTCCCTCAGAGAGTCCCCTGAGGACCTCTTCGGAGAAAGGAGAGGTCTCATCCCTCCAGCTGCCGTGCTTCACGCAACACACATTAAAACCGAGAAATAGTTGTACTCTCAGTGCAGCTCTGTTGTGCAATCTCTCATTCATAGCAGTCGCTGGGCACAGGGGCTGCCTGGCGGGGTCATCCGTGCGTTAAATTTCGGTCTGCAGGCTACTGCAGAAGAACAACATCATCTAGCCAAAATAAATAAAAGGCAGGCACCTGAGAGCTTCCTGCCCGCACCAGCGCGGTGGCAGGAGGGAAAAAGCACCCGGGCAGCACAGGGCACACCCTGCAGTGCTTCCTCCGGGCCCCCTCGGCGCACAGAGCCGTGCACCTCCCTCCAAACGGCCGGGGTCCTTGTTTGTAGTGTTTTCACTCATCATCTTAGCAATGCTTTTAATGCCGTTTCTGGTGGATGGAGGTTATTAAAGATCCTCTCGACATTTCAGGCAGACACACGCTAGCATTTTGTCATAGTCTAGGAATTCAAACACTCACCCAGTTAGGCAGGAGTTTAAATTATGAAAAATAGAGGTCTCTCAGTTTCAAAGCACTGAAGAGAAGTAAAAAAATCTGAAGAATTTCTTTAAACTGTTTTTCCCTTAGGTCAGGAAGCAGTAGTGATATAAAACTAGAATGTCACTAGTAGCCCCTCTGGTCAGTGGGGTCATAACAAAAGAAGCCACGAGGGCTTGCTTGGCCACCGATGGGAGCAAATTCTCACTGGTGGCACTCACTGGAGTGCAGATGGTCCAGAAATGGGGATTATTAGCAGACATGCAGGAAAATGCTCTTGATCTACTGATTGTGTTCTTGGGCAGGGAGTGTTCTGCCTTGTATGAAAGGATGTGGCCCGCACAGGGGTTCTGAGGACTACAATACAGTCCCATCTGAAGCCTCCTTTTTTTCTGATATCCATTTGGAATGCTCTACAACGTGGGGACTTGCAGATGGTCACCCAGGTCTTCACGATAAGCCTGATTTTGAGAGGTCTCCCTCCCCTCTGTGGGATACAACCATGATGCAGGTGCCTAACTGGGGTTCAACAGAAAACACATTCAGAGCAAGGTACATGCTTTGCAAACTTGGGACACATGCCTCGCCCCAGAGAGGTTAAATCCTAAAACTACACAGGTAGGAAAGGCAGGAGAGGGGAAGCACAGACAGCACAGGCCAGAAGGGCTTGGAGGTGGGGGGGCAGCACGGGAGTCTGGTGAACAAGGAGCAAGAGAGGAGGCATTAGACATAGATGATGGAGAAACTGCACAGGAGGAAAAACAAGACGGAAAATGATGGCCAGGAGCACTTGAAAATGGAAATCCAGCGAGGGCATTCAACAGGAGCAACATGGAAGGGATCACTTCAGCAGCAGGATTTTGCGCAGACCAAGGAAAAAGGAAAAGGAAACCAGTCATGGGCAATGCAAGAGACAACCAAGACATAGCCTCTTCCCTCCCATTACGTGCCTAGTTAGGCTCTGCACTAAAAAGGTTTAGGATCCGCTTTTCCAGAGTGTCAGCAGATGCTTTAGGAAAACAGGCCCAAGCAGTGTTTTCAGTTACCCTGGAAGTGGCCATCTGTCTTCATTTTCTCCCATTAGGAGAGAACTTTTTTAAACTTATCATAGCCTTGTTGCTGTCCTGAAATGTTTTTCCACTCAAAGGTGGTGCTGCAAAATGGATGTCCTATTCCAGCTAAGAACTAGCTAAGGATAGGGATACGTTCCTATGTTTGTGTTTTACCCAGCAGCCAAATTCTCACTATTTATAATGGCAACAAACGATCACGTCAAGAAGGTTTAAACAAAGTGAAATATGAGAAGATCTCTACCTTGTCTGTGATATTTTAAGTATGTTTGTGATGGAAATGCTGAGATCAAAGCTTCGAGATACTTCTGCAGAGGGGCATTTGTATTCAAACACAGAACAGAACTGACTTGTTTTTTTCGAAAAGTTCATTTAGAAATTACTTTCTTTGAAAGACATTACACTTATCTCTGTCTACAACACAGACAAAACTATTGTGCGTAAAATAAGTAAGAGCGTAAAGAAAAAAAGAAAGGCTTGCATTTGGGTCCATCACACTCAAAGCCTGAAGTGCATCCCCCAAGTGCAATGAATTTGTTAAACCCTGCCTCTCTTTTGATGGGGCTGTATAGGCATGAAATGGTGCGGCATTTAGATCTTGCCATGGTGTTGGGCCCTGAGCAGCCTGTGATCCTTCACAGCTGCACTGGAAGGCAAAGCTTCTCATCAGCGCCGTGCGCCGTGGGTCGAGTGGGAAAGGCTACGGGTCCCTCTTCTGCCTAGCTCACAAGTCTCCAGCAGCTGGCCGCAGGGCTTGTCGTTGCCACTCTGTTGGTAACTGCTCCACGGCGGGAGTACCGGGTCAATGGTCTGAGTCCAGCTGCTCCTGCTGCAACAGGCCGGGTGCTGCAGATCACATTACTGAAAACCCTGCTATGGGGCCAGACTTTTGTTTACAATGGTTCTGTGCAAAAACAGGTCACAGCCAGATAAATTAGGTACTGGAGGACAAATCCTCATACATACTTAGACAGTTGTTTGTTTTTTAAAGTATCAGAGGACTGATACACAGGGTGAAAAGAGAGGGAGAAGAGGGGAGTTACAGGTACATTTCAGAAGCAGGACCACCCTCCTCCTCCTCCTATCCTTGCTGGCCAATGCACAAACAGTATCACTGTTATCAACATCCCTGTTTAAATTAAGCCTCCAGTTCATCCTATCTACTGTGCTAATATGATTATTAAAAACAAATCCAGAGCCTTTTGTTTGGCCCTCACACCACTGTGAAATTACGTTCTTGTCCTGGGGACCTTATGCTGCCTTGCCATGCAATGACTCCAAACTAAGAGGTATTCTCCAGTGCTAAAGGGGTATGAAGCTGTAACTATTAGTCCCTTAAAACAATTAGTAAAATGCACCGTTGATAAATCTTTCAAAAATACCGTCAAGGGCTTATGGAGAGGTGATAACCAAGTATCATCTCTGTCCTGTCCAACTGTTAACACAGGGCATCCTCTTGTACTTGCAGGCACAGCCACTCCCAGCGACCGCAGGAAAGAAGGATTAATGCTTTTCAAGCTGACTAACTGAAGAATCTAGATTTACCTTCAGCCTGAATATTACTGCATCTTGGTAAAAGATTATGTCATATCTCAGTTTACCAGGAAGACTGCAGATTTTTATTTTTTTTCTAATTCCCCAGAAACTTGTTAAAATAACAGACCGTTTCTCATAACATTTTCTGCAAGACTCTGATATTTTATGACTGGTAGTTTGATTTTTATAAAACTTGTATTAAAATAGTTTATATTGCTTCAGCTAATAGTGAAAGAGTGTCATGACCAGCGTGTTCCTCAAAGTAAAATTTAGGAAATATCTATGAAAGAAGAAGGGTAATTTGTAAGATAAGAAGATAAAAGGCATTTTTTTTAAATGCTTATCTTGAAAAGTAACAACAAGAAGTTTAAGTGTGTTTTTGCTGATTTTTCTCTCCAACTATTTGAAGCTATAAATGACTTAACTCAGTAAAATTCCAAATGTAATTATCTTCTGTACTTAGCCCAAGGCTTTCCATATATCTCTACACTGCTGTCTTGCATACAAAATAGGTTTTTCAATAGCTGGTAACTATATAATGTACAACATTGTTTTAATTTCCCTTTCTTTGCTAACTTCTTGCCTACACACAGACACACTGTCAAAGCTGCCCAGCCAGAGCAGCGAGGAGCAGGGAGACAGAAAGGACTCAAAAGCATTTGGAAAGGCAGTTACACAAACAGGTCATACCTTTGCATCGCATTCAATATATTCCAATTTACCCCCTTCTGGCACTTTAAAAAAAATTATTTGCTACAAATGGCAAAAAATAATAGTAATAATAGTAATAATAACACATGGAGAGTATTAGTATATGAGAGACCACCAAACAAGCCAGGTCATGCAGCGTTTTGAAATAAACATCAACCATTTCCCCCATGTATCAACAACTCTAAATGAAGAGGACCATGTTCCGCTCGCCCCCCTCCCCCCCCGGGTGAGTATAAAAAGCATCAGATACATACTGATGGATTTCCAATCAGCCAGCCTGTTTAAGTTTCCTATTTCTTTTCAAGTTACGGTTTAGAAAAGAGGAAATGAAGCTGCAGTTTCTTTTGACGGTTTTTAAAACTACTACAAGAAGGTTGTGAAAACTGGTTTTCAATCATAGGGGGAAAAGCAGAACTCATTTTTTATTGCTGTCGAGAATTGGATTTGATTAATACTGAGGTAATATTAAAATAAATTTTATTTTACCTGTAGCTCTAACTGCTGTACAACCTGCATTTGTACTCTACATTGGGCTGTACTTCTATCATCCAGCGCATGCTCACTGTTGAGATGTCTG